GTGACCCCCAACTCCCCAGCCAGAGAGCCCCCCCAGCCCCCCACTTCCCCATGGCTGACCCCCCAAGCCCCGCAGGTTGAGAGACCAACCCCAGCTCCTGACTTCCCCATGACTGATCCCCCAACACCCACAGCCAGTGCCCACCCCCAACCCCCTACTGACTTCACCATGACTGATCCCCCAACACCCACGGCTGCCCCCCCCCACAGCTTCGGTCACCCAGATCCCCTTCCCCATAGCTGAACCCCCAACACCCAATCTCCTCAGATAATTTGCCCCCCAGCCTCCCCAAAGCAGACTCAGCCCTCCCACCCTACACAAGCCCCTGTCCCCACAGGGTTACCCCACCAGGCCTGTGCCCCCCAACCCTCCCCACTTAGGGTCAACCCCCCCCCCATAGCTGAACCCCTGCCCCTTTCCAGACCCCCAACCCACTCCAGACGGGGCTACCTCTGGGGCCCAGCCCCCCGAATCAGAGCCTCCCCCAGCTCCCTCCTCACTGGGTGCTGAGGGCAGAGAGAGCACCCCACCGCCAGACACCCCCCCGCCTTTCTTAGCACCCCCTCAACACCTCCCACACATGCCTGGATCCTTGTTAGCACCCTGTGCAAGGAGTCAAAACACCCCTCCCCCGCAGCGCCAGGGCGGGGGGCTCGTGACCTGGAGAGCGGGGGGGGCCCCCCACAGTGTGGGGGGGGACGCAAGAGGGGAGAATCCCTGAGACAGGGATGGGTCCGAGGATCCCCATAACACACCCAGGACCCCCAGCGCCCACCCCCACAACACACACGAGCCCCCCACCATCACTAGGCCCCCACAGCCCCCCTCCACACACCCACAAGCCACAGCTCCTCCCACTGTCAGGCCCCGCCCCCAGCCCCGCCCCAATCACACCCCGCCCCACATCCAGGGCTTAAGAGCCCCGAAAACAGGCCTGAGGCCTTCTAATGAGCCAGGGCTGGTGGGACCCTCTGCCTCCTGGGCTACTGCCCCATATCCCCCCAGGCTAAAGAGCCCAGCAGCTTGGGGGGGACCTGGAGACCTCACTACAGCCCCCCTGAGCTGGCAGAGGGCTGAAGAAGACCAGGGGGAGCAGAGGTGAGGCTGGGGAGGCCAGACCCTTACTTTTCACACCCACTTTAAGCAGTGCCCTCCCAATAACCACAGAGACATGGGTCAGAGCCCCCCACTGCCCCACCCCACAGCCTCCTACCAGCCTGCCCCCAGCCCTGCCCCATAGGCCCAAAGCCTCCTGCCAACCCAACCCCACAACCTCCCTTCCCACCTTGGCCACAGAGCCCCACAACCCTCTCAGCCCCATAGGCCCAAAGCCTCCTGCCAACCCAACCCCACAACCTCCCTTCCCACCTTGGCCACAGAGCCCCACAACCCTCTCAGCCCCACTACGCCCAAAGCCTCCTGCCAACCCAACCCCACAACCTCCCTTCCCACCTTGGCCACAGAGCCCCACAACCCTCTCAGCCCCATAGGCCCAAAGCCTCCTGCCAACCCAACCCCACAACCTCCCTTCCCACCTTGGCCACAGAGCCCCACAACCCTCTCAGCCCACACCCTGTTACAACCACCCAGCAATGTTAATCTGACCCTGGCCCAGCCTTAGGACCCAGCCCTTACCCCCCAGTTTTCTCTAAGCCCCCTGCCCACCCCCCAGCTTTCGTCTCCCACTGGAAGAGAGGCTGAGAGAGGATCCCAGTGCCCCAGAAAAGGGCCAGGAAAGACACAAGCCAGATGCCCCCCCTTTCCTGAACTGCACCCCCATTCAGGGATCTGCGGGGAAATGGCCACCTGTTCTCTTCTCCCACCCACCCCCCCTGACATTGCTGTGCAGGAAAAGAACCCAGGAGTCCTGGCTCCCATCTCACAGTCTGCTCTACCGCTAGACCACCACTCCCCTCCCAGAACCAGGGAGAGAACCCAGGAGTCCTGGCACTCCGCCCGACCCAGCTTAGTGCCCGCCTAGGGTCAGGACCAATGGGGGGTTTGGGGGGGGGGGTTGGCCAGGCAGCAGTGAATCCCCTCACCCCACTCTGCTGGGAGAATGGGGGGCTCAGACAGCTGTGGGGATGCCCCAACCCTACCCCCAGAGTGACACCCCCTGCAGCCCCCCACCTGACAACTTGGGCATGGGGCCCCCAAAGTAACAGAGCAGGCAGAGGGAAGGGAGCCCTCCAGTATGGGGGCTCTGCTCCCATCCCCCCAATCCTCCCTGCATGGGCTGATCTGGGGGCTGCCCCTGCCAGGCCCCCATGCTCCAATCCTGGGGGTGTCTCCTCCCTGCCCCAGTCCCTGACCCCCAAATCCTGGCCCTCTCCCCAATGCAGAGCCCCCTTCATGCCCTGAGCCATCTGCCCCAAAGCACTGATCTGTGGGGGACTTCCCCAATGAACTGAGACCCACACACCCAGCATCCTCCCTACCCCCCAATGCACCGACCCACTACCCGCCCCCCGATCCTGGGCCCCCGCAATGCACCGATCCTGCCCCCGATCCTGCCCCCCCCCCAATGCACCGATCCCCTCCCCACCCCGTGCACTGA